ATGATGGTTTGAGGAGGCTGAAAGAAAACTGAGTGCTAAGTTAGGAGAGGAGCAAAATAAGAGGCCCAAGACGTTGAAGCACAAGTAGCCATAATCTTTTCTTTGAAGATGAATATGTCTCAGTGTTTGAGGGGACACACCATAACAGCATCACAGTATGAAACATATGTGGGATTTATGAATGAGAAGCATTGCTTTAAGTGAATAATCATTACTCAAGACACTATTTTGTTCATCCTATATAATAAAAGAGAAACATGTAAATTGACCATTCCTCCGCTATACTCACCAGCCAATCAGGAGTGAGTATGCAAATTAACCTGGCAAAAAAATGGTGGGTTAATTTGCATACATAGCACTAGATGGAGAGCAGAGTGGGAGAGCCAGAGGATTGGAGGGACTTGGCTCCCTCAGTCACTCCCAGTATCACTGGGAGCACCAGGAATGCTGGGAATCGTAGTTCTGGTGGCAGATGTCTCTCCTAGACACTAGAGCAGTGGTTCTCAACCTTGGCTGCACATTAGAATCACCTGGGAATCTTTTTAAAATCCTGATTTCTAGGCCTCATCCTTTGGAAATTCTGTTTCTTTGTTATGGGGTGGGGCCACAACATTAGTAACAAAGAAACAATTTCCAGAGGATGAGGCCCAGAAATCAGGATTTTAAAAAGATTCCCAGGTGATTCTAATGTGCAGCCAACATTGGGGAACCACTGCATTAGAGCAAAGTGAGTCTGGAGCAAGTTACTGTTGCAGTGGGGGATGGAGGGAAAGCAAAGGTGAGAGACATAAGTAAAATCAGAGTGTCTAGGAAAAATTAAAGGGAAGATATCCTAAAACTTCCAGGAAATCTCCACCAATGAAGCAAAGAAAAAAAAAGCCTCTGTTATTCTGTGAGCAACAAACCAAACTGGGTTGGGGGTCTCAGACAATTCGCTCATATGATTGCAAAGACAGACAGAGACTACCGGATTGGAGAGGGCTCCCCTGAGGGCTCCCAGATTGGAGAGGGTGCAGGTTGGACTGAGGGACCCCCACACCCTCCAGTACATGAATGTCATGCACCGGGCCTCTAGTAAATTATAATTGTTAGGCTTTTCCATGGTGGGCCACTAGAGCTTTCATCTCAGAGTATTGGCTGTTCAAGTTGGCTACCCAGATTGTTTGAAACCCACTACTCTGTTTTCTAGCTGTATGATTATGAGTAGTTTACATAGGCAATCTGGACCTCAGCTTTCTCACCGATAAAATAGCATTAATAATGGTACTACCACAAAAGGTTATTGTGACAATTAAACCAGCAAATCCATGAGTGGTGCTTTGAACAATGTCTAGCAGATAGTAGGCATGTAAAAAATGTCTGCTCTTCTTTTGTAACATACAATCTTCATAAGATTAAATTAGATGAAGCAGAGAAGCAGTTCAAAGCACCAGCTCCAGTGATGGTCTTCCAATTTTGAAAATTTCCAAGATATCTTCGACTTTAGAGCCCTTGAATATGTTGTTCTATCTGCCTAGGATACTTATTTCCCTTTTCTTTCTTTACCTTGCTAATTCCTGTCTATTCTTCCATACTAAACCCTAAACTGACTTTTCCTTTCACTCCTGACCTGGGTGTAACTGAGAAACATCCTGTAAAAGGCATCCTTCCATTTTCTTTCTCTTATACCCTACTCACAAAGGGTGTGTGTGTGTGTGTGTGTGTGTACTTCTTTCTATAATCCATACCATTTTCTAATGTCAATCAGAAAAAAGACCATTTCTATTTGTTAATCAATCAAATATAGCTTTTAGTACATTGCCTGATATATCATCATCATTCAATATATATGTGTTAGATAAAGTAATGAATAAATATAAATACAAATAAAACAAAAACATGAATAGATTAATGAGGAATTGAGCTGATTATTATTGACACACTGATAATGCTATATTCTAGAAACTTCACTGGTTTTTCTAAAGACACATAAAAATGTACTGAACAAGAAGAATAAGTGAACTTCTCTTTGTGGACATGCCATTATTCATAATAGCCAGACTCTCCCCTGAGATTTTCCAAGAGAGAAAAGAACAAAATAACCACAACATAAATCAAATGATCACTGCATCATTATAAATAGCAATTAAATGCCATTAAATTACATCAAGCACAGCATTTACATAAATAAGGTAAATGATCACTTCAAATCTGTTCTTTCTGGTGTGAGGAAACTCTGTGATCAGAAAATTTGGAATTTTTTTTCAACCAAGTGATATAAAAATAAATAAATTGCCTTTCCTCTTAATAAATGCCAGAATCTCTTAGAAACCAGTTGAGTGACATAGTCTAAAGTATAAACAAGCTATTTATTAAAATGTAAGCTCAGCATATGTTCCACCGATGATTTTATATCTTAGTTACATAGAGTAATGATCAGAACAGCTCTCAATTATCGTTATAGATCAGAACTATCTGTGGAAGTTATAAAAAAATGTCTAAAGCCTAGAAATACTATTTTAAAAAGTATGAGTGGGTTTTGGGGAGCATTATCCTTTTAACAGCTTTATGCTTGGCTCTGACATGAATCCAATGTTACATAGCACTTGTTTATTGATAGGCACAAACTTATCTATTGTTAGAGAAAGTCTGGATAGTTCTTATGAAACAACCCTCAGTAATTAAGCAAGATTGAGCAATTATGTGGATACTTTGATCACATGCTTTGTTTGCATCAGAAGTTTGCAATTACCTGAACACTAAATACAATCATTTGGAAGTTACCCAGTTCCTGTAATTTTCCTTTTAGTTAAATACCGTTTATTTAATAGAAATTGACAAAAAAATTTTGAGTGCTGACTGTGCCCAAGGCACTTTCTCTGACACTGCTATATTTAAAAAGTGTAAAATTTGATCATTGGCCTTGAACACATTCATGTCAAAAGAAGACAGATATTTTCTAAAATTAAAAAAGCATGGTAAGTACCATGGTAAAGTATTATGATTTAAAAAATGTATGAATCATATAAACCTCTATCCCCAACACACATACATATGCACAGGTTAATGGAGGCATCATGAAGTTTCATGGAGTCTGTGTCATTTGAGATTGGTCTGGAAGGCTGAATAGGATTTTCATGGTGAAATATAAAAACTGAGCAAATATTTGCAGCCATCAAAAAATGAAATATATGCAAGCTTGGCTGGACTGTAGAGAAGAAAAGAGTGTGGGGTTGATTGCTGAAGACCGTGGGTGACCTGAGTACAGAACTCTTTACGAGCATTGTAGAAGCACATATGGTATCAAAACAGGACATACAGTCAAGGAATGTACAGTAATGTCTAGGAAGAATATGAAAGATATGAAATAATTTAACAATAGCATAATATTAATTCTAAATAATATAAAATACTGATAAGAACTAGAGTGTCTCAGAAATGGAGAGAAACGGATTACAGATGAAAGGAAGAGAGTTAACACAATCATGGTGGCAGGCTAAATGGTTCTCCCAGTTCAATTAAAACACGGGGGTCCTGAGTGGGTGTCATGGGGAATGATGATAGAAAGGTAAAAGACGTCAAGACTGTCGAAGGCTTTGAACACCAGGGTCAAAATGTTGGGGCCCTTTTAAAAGTTAATATGAATATACTAAAGATTTATAAGCAAAAAAGCAGGAAAGTTACAGAACTAGATTTTTAAGGTAGAGAGTAGGGTACACTGGGAAGGGGAAAGCCATCAGCGAAATTGATAGCTACTTGGTTACGGCAATAGTTCTAGCAGGAGGTAATGAGGTCCAGGACATACTGGCAGAAAAAAAGGACATGGTACCATCCTGTAAGAACATTCCAACTGAAGAACAGAGCTGAAGAACTAGTGGGATGAAAGATATCTTTGAAAAGAGAGGGAGACATAAAGTTAAGTAAAAGATCACTGAGGAAGCTTGGATATGATACTGAGAGAGCAAGCATTCACTAAGGTTCTTAGCATGAAAATGATTTTAAAAACCTGGTACATTTGCATCACTGTCATTTCATGATTAGCAGCTTTGCTTCATTATCAAGAGTCCTGAACCCAAACTATTTTATCATGACATGCCTAGAGATCTAAAATCCCTTGCTGTTACTAAAAGGACAAGATTATAAATTCCTTTGGCTTGATTTCCCACCATAAATCAAATTTAGAAAATGTATAAATGTTAAAAGTATGTGGTAGTTTGTTCTGGACATTAATCTCACGTTCTTATTGAGATATAAAAGAACTAGCACTGATAAGCATATTCTAGAGGTAAAATTACTGATTAAATAATGTAAGAGCTCCTTGCTTATCCTAAAATTAAATTTCCCATTTGCAAGTGGCATACTAGACATAAGTGAACATTACTGTGTAATCTAATAGAAATATATCATTAAAAGAGGGCAAAAATATCTAGCTTATCAGTATTAATTGAATTCTGTTGGTGGTAAAAAATATCTGTTGCTTAAAAAAACACTTGTCATTTGATTTCATTAGGAAGATTGGTAAGGTAAAAGTGGATTCTTCAGGTTAAAAACAATTAAATTGAAAGCAAGGTTAAACTTATTATAGAAAAAATCCTAAAAATAAATGACATGCCTTCTGAAAATCTATTTGCAGGAAATGAAACCAAAAGCAAAGTTCACATGCAGCTTCTCACATAACTATATTTGTACAGCTGCATGTCCATATATTTTTAAACCTTAACATTGATAATTTTTCAATAGTAACTAATTTTGTGGAAATGTAAAGATTTCCAGTAATGCATGAAGCTATATTATTAATCAACCTGACCAGCCCAAACATGAATATAATTTACATCACTGAAGACTAACAAAATAAAACTGCGACTAGGTTAACATCGACTCATCTGCTATACAGTAATTGCTAAATAACTGCAAAATACATTACATTCTGTTCATTACCGCTCCAATTATAATGTCCTCTTCTATCTGTTTCTATGTTTATCTATGTTTTGTCTGAAAAGAATGGAAAAATAAATACTTACCAAAATGGTGGTGACGATCAAAGAACGGTTAGATAAGGAATCTGTGATGTTGGCTGGTTTTCCCTTTTGACTTTCTGTCATATTCAGGCCACTGGCTGGATCCCAGGTTCCAATCTATAAAACAGCATACATGCTTTGTAAATTGTCCATCGGGCACATAGGAGAGAGTACTGCCAGAGAAAGTTAAGATTTTTCACACTTATTATTCACCTCTGCTGCATTATCTGCCATCATTAAAGTAAAGGCTACTTGTTTTAAGCATGATTCACTGCTCTGAGAAGTATGTCCAGTGAAGTGTGACATTAAAGAACAAAATGATCCACTGCACTTCTACAGTCAGTGTGGGAGCTTAATTTTCCATTCAAACTTTCATTCACCAAGATAAACCACATTTGATGATACCTTGATAGCTGGCCAGAAACTCATTAATGGTGCATATCTTTTACTGAAATGGATCTTTCTCAGCCTCTCATTGTAAAGATAACAAACCACATTACTACATGAACAAAGCTAAAAGACAGAGCAAAACCTAGGGATCCAGGATAAATTAATTGGTAAAGGCAGGTTTAAGAGAGGCATTGATTGGAATTCTGCATAACACCCAGTAAGGCAAAATCATATGCAGAATCCCTTTTAGAGCTTTAAAAAATACACCTGTGCAGCTTTTAAAATACTCAGAGGAAAGGAAATTACTGTACAGAATCATCTATTGAACACATTCCAGTAGTCCCACCTGTATTCCATTTTAATGTATTTAATTTACTTTGTGATAGATTAGGCAGGAATTTTTATCCAGTGTGCCTCAAGAATTTTTAAAACATGCAATTCCTGACTATTTAGTCAGAAACACTGACCTTTTATCCCTTAGATTAGGCATCAGGTGTGAATGAATCAAAATTATACCTATTTTTTGTCAGATTGGCCAGAAATACATGTCTTGGTGTGCCCCAGAATTTTAGTAATTAGTTTATGTGTGCTGGAAGATGAAAAAGGTTAAAAATTGCTGGATAGTTCAGATGGATGGTTTGCATGCACTTCACCATTGCACCATCATATAACAATGGTCATCACTAAAGGAGAACAGAGGCATAAGGAGATAAGGAGTAATATTTTTCCCACCCTCTTAAACCTGGGAGTCATCAATAGTCACTATATGATAGTGACATTGATATAGCAGGTAATATTTTCCCTAATATGCTAGCAAGAGTCTCATCAGCATAACCTTATCCAAATTAAATATTATGATCCTTTTATTTTCTTTATATATCATTATATTTACTCTTTTGATCCCCTTTAATTTCTATCACTTTCCTAGTAACCTCTTAAGATGTTTAATAATCTCTGTAGAAAAGCTCCAAAGTGGAAATATTAGTAATTTCTGTTCTACATAAGAATAGCCATGTCACTCTAATACTTGCATGTAAGTGCAAACCCTAATACATTTTTTCCCAAGAACGTATTCAACTACACTAGTGACTCAAAAACATTTTTTAAGTGATGGCTAAAAAAATCTCTCTTGCCATATATTTTCATTGCAGTTAATTTTCTTCTTACTATGAAAAACTACATATTTCTAAAGTTTGGGTCAAGAAATGAAAAAGTCAAATAACACAGTGAGAAAAAAAAATATCTTGATTCAGTATTCTTTCCAAAGTAAAGTACTCTTGGGACAATTACATTATTTAATTTAGACTATAGATATTATGATGTCATAAAGACATTCAGGGTCTGTAATGAAAGGCATTCAGGTAACATTGACATTGAAGTGGGAGGGCAGAAGCCAATAGAAAGAATTTCCAGGGGAGAGTGGGTAGTTTTAAATTTCAGAAAATCTCAAGGCAGAGCAGCAAGTAGGGGCCACATTCTGAGCCTGCTCTGCTCACAGAGCTGTGTGCCTTGGGGTTGCATGTTCCCAGAGCAGGTGTTTTTTTTCAAGTTCCCAGCAAGGCGTCGCCAGAGCTAGGAGAGGCCCTGCTGGGAACTTGGGTGAGGAAGGATAGCCAGGATGTAAAACATGGAATGCCTGCTGATCTGCTTAAAGTGCTTCAAATTCAAAATCATTAAAAACACTCTGTTGGCTAAACAGGACATCTGCAGATCCTATTTTGCAGTGACTGCTACTTTTCTGTCCCCAGTTTGTAATTAATACCTATTATGCAAATGCCATTTCTTTGGAATCCCCCCCACCACCACCACCATTGGCTAAATAGTCAAATTTTTCACATGTGTAATTCTATCAGCTAAAACACTGGCAAATATACTTTGTCTGCTAAGGTCTGCCTAACGACAACTCTTAAACTCAATCAGGAAGTTTTTCAAATTTCTAAGCAAATCACTAATACAAAATATTGCCCATTTCACTTACTAGTGTCTTCCATGACTACTTTTTATTAAAAAAAAATAACTGAGCTAAACATTCACTCATATAAACATACTAATATTTAGTTTCATTCTCCGTTAGTTGCTTTTCTATTTGGATGGAGGGTTCTGGTTCATAGAATATGAATCCATAATTTCCTGTAATCACAAATATTAGCTATTCCCTTTTGTAAAACTCAGGTTTTTCAGCATAATGTTATAGAGTTTCAGAAATTTCAGTGATATAAAATACTAAATCAAATAAAATTTTGTATGATTACTGGATTTTAAGTCTCCTGTAATCCTATAATTCAAAATTTTCTATTGCTTGAGGAAATTGTCAACAGTGGATTTTGTGCTTGGTTTTGTTTTAGTCACAAGAACCATGGACTAAGTCAAGATAATCTTATTTCTTTTCATGTATTTTCAGAATCAATTTTTTATTACATGATTTAATAAAGTCTTTTAAGTACTTTTTAATTTTCAGTTCTAAAATGGAATAATGATAGCTAAGTACTCTTGACCTCACAGAGATGTTTTAAGTAGAGTAAGTATATATCTTAGTTTACTTGGATATTTCAAATTTAAAATTGTCTTCCTAGTGTAAATATTAATAGCACCCTCTTGTACAATTTAAAAAGCCATGGTTTGTCTAATAAAGTATAATGCATCCTTATTATCAGGACAAACTAAATAAGTAATATAAAAGTACTTCAAATACCATAAAGAACTATAGAAAACATGGCATTATTCATTTTCATCTTCTCAATGATTCTTAAAATAAATTTGCTTTTCTTCATAAAAATAATGTATGTTTACTGTCAAATTATAAAATACGCAAGATATAAAAGAGAACATCAATTTAAACTTTGAACTTATGCACATACCCAAGTTAATCACAGCTAAAGCTTTAGTGTATTATGTTCCTTGCATAATTTGCACCATAGCCTTATAGTTAATGGCTCAGACTCTGAAGGATGTACCAAACTGCCATAATCCCACTTCCATCAGGTGACATGGGCATATTACTTCTCTGCTCTTCAATTTCCTAATCTATAAATGGGCAAATAGTAATACCTACCTCATAGAGTTATAATTATTATATCAATTAAATAAGACCCATTTGTACACTATTATGAGTATTTCCATCTGGTGTTAAAAATTAATCAATTCTTAATTTTAGTGATTCCATAAAATAAATATCATATGAGTGTAAAATGCTTCTATACATGGTTTGACTTAATGTCAGACAAATATATTTGTCTTGAGCAAAGAGCATAAGTGGTACTTTTCCATAGAAAACCTGTGTAGTGATCATCAGAGACCACAATACTAATTATATTTGAAGCAGTCTTAGCACAATGTGAAGTCTCTATAATAAAGTAATTTCACTTAAGCCCAAACCGGTTTGGCTCAATAGATAGAGCATCGGCCTGCGGGCTGAAGGGTCCTGGGTTCAATTCTGGTCAAGGGCACATACCTTGGTTGCAGGTTCCCTGGCCCTGGTCAGGGTGTGTACAGGAGGCAACCAATCTATGTGTCTCTCTCACATCAATGTTTTTCTCTGTCTCTCTTTTCCTTTTCACTCTCTCTAAAAATCAATGGGAAAATATCCTCAGGTGAGGATTAACAAAAAAAAAAATAAAGTTCACTTAAAGAAAAATCTCCCAATAATTAGTTGCCTCCAACCACATGACCCAGAAAGTATAGTTTTCCTTAAAGAGTACTTATCATTCCTTTCAGAAGAACAGTGCTATCCTTGATGGTGCTGTTTGAGGATACTGAAAAGTGGAAAGCATAAGAAAGGTATTGATATTAAATGCTCATTTACATTTAGAAGATAAATATTCTCTCCAATTAACTGAATACATACTGGTAGACTGTATATTTCTCTATTAATTCGTGTACTCATTTTTTATAAATAATTTCCGAACTCAGGTTTCTCTAAGCTATGTGTACATGAACGGCAGGAACAGAGTTTGTACTTATCTTGCTAAATGTTGCAGGCAGGAACAGAGTTTGTACTTATCTTGCTAAATGTTGCAGGCAAACCACAGAATTTTTTCCTCACGTACTTTACTCTTTCCAATGTTGAATTTTTAAATAAAGAGTATAGATAGCTATTTGCATTGCCATCTAAAAATAGCACTGTCTAATGTCAATAGTAATGTGCATACTTCCATTGGGCTAAGTATTAACGGGAGATTACTTAAACAAAACTGGTGACTGGTCATTCAATGTCTATGCACTGAGTAAAGAACAATTAATTGGGAATTGAATCATCTTCATACATCAGTGATTTGGACCATGAAGATAGTAAAAAGGACTCTTCATTAATCACTTTCCTAACACCAAATACCGACCAGTTTCCATAGGCTCTAGAACTTCACCATTTGAAAACCATTATGTGTTAATATGAAGACAATAAATTAATAAGTATATAGTTATCTCACAAAAAGAGAGATGACTTATATAAACATAGAGTTATTAACTTTAAGATTCTTATTTTTATGCAGGGCAAAGTAAACCCTAAACATAATTAAAGCTTAAGAGACAGGTGATAGTTTTTTTAAAGAAATTAAATCAATGAATTAACTGTTCTCAAATAAACAATGCTATGTAATTCAATTAAAGACCACTTTTCAAAGAGTAAAATTGTAATTGAGTTTACTTTGAAATCAAACCAATGCATTACAATTATGTTTATGGTAGGTACATGTTTAATTAAAATTCAGTAGTTGAAAGAAAAGTACCAA